GGAAAGGGTGATGCCGAGTAAAAACAGTTGGATGTGTGGTGTCAGACATTTGCACATATTTTTTTAAATTTGTCACAGGCATACTTTGATCATTGTTTAAATAATGACAGACAATTTTATAACCACAGTGTCATATTATATTTGGTAAAGTATAAGACTCCCTGCACTTACACATTCTAATATGTATACCTTAGTTTTGATACCATGCCATCGTCAAAAATACTGATGAGGGCATCTTGCGAAGTAAATGTACATGATATGAAAAATGCATTGTATGTATTATTTGAAATGCGCTGTTTAAGAATGGGATTATTTTTAGAGATTTTATAGGAAATGATATTTTATGTATTGTGTAATTTTCTTCACTGTTTTGATTGGAATAGTTTTATGACAAAGTTTCAGGTGTAATGTTAATGGACCACTGTTTTGGTAAGATACCTGTTCGGTTGTCTCCATAACTTAGTGAACAATGCATGTGGCTTGCACCTATAAGAATATGTTTATTATAACTGATGGTATGATTCAGCAGACTATACCTTCATATGCTACGTGCACTTAATTTCATGATCGTACTGGACACTGATAGTGTAGTCATCACAAAGAATATAATTCCATTGAGATTTTTTTCATTCTCTCCTTGATTAATTCAAATTACTTTCATTTTATGCGTTTATGGAAGGTCAAACTTCAAAGGTTTTCATTTCATTATCATAATTAGAAATATAACTGAACAGTTATTTGATAAAAAAAATGTTCTCAACATAGTATTTGGCCTCATATTGTACTATTACATAATTAGAACTAAATGTTTGAAATAAAACTTATATTGATTAAAGAACTGTAGTGTTTAGTATGAATTTCTGTTGATGGTACCAGAAATTTCATAGCTGGGTATGCGAACAGTTTTATGTTACTCATAAATTAAACATCAAGGACACTGTGTCTGTAGACTAGTGACATTTCATAACTGTTCTACATGAGTTATTTGCATTTCTTGCATAGTAAGACTTTGGATTATGTTACGTCATCAGGCAATTTTAATGCTGTAATGATGTGAATGGCTAATTAAATGTAGTGACGGGATGAGCGAATAACACTCGCCTATAAGAAACTGATTTGTCAGACTTACATGCAGTCTGAAAAGGAAAACAAAACTCCAAAGAAATTTAAATTATGCTTCCTACATTCATCCCTGCAGTGTTATTTGGAACATCACAGATACATGGCATTACAGGTTTTAAACATGCACAGAATTCCCCTGGTTCTTCATAATTTTTACTATGGTTTTGCGAAAAATGTTTTTGAGGTATATCAATTAATATCACCCTCATATCGATGTTCAAGTATAGGTGTCGTGAAGGAGTTATTGCATAGTAATATTTTATTTTTAACGGTGTGCTTTTAACCTTTATTGGCCATCGCTCAGCTTACGAATTGTGGTTCCAGCCTGCCACACATCATAGTAGCATCCTGCTTCACATAGTTCAATATGGCTGGCAGCACCATGGCGCAGGCATTTAAATCCCCATTCACTCATGGTAAGTCGAGGATTCTTGGGAATGGATTCCCCCCACCCATCTGCAACGTCGACTTGTAGGTACAGGAACACCTCGCTAATAATCCTGACTGTATGGGGAAAGGTGGTCTACATTAGCAAAGTGATAATTTAAAAAAATTGTAATATACTATTTAAAACTGCGTTTTGAGTCAGTCTCCATGATTTCCAAACACTGCAGAAGTTCAGAAGGTATAGATCATATCATGGTTCACACTTAAAATATTTTCACAGCTTAAAGCCACATGGTACTAACTAATAGGCTTTTGTATTGCAATCCACATAACCACTCACATGACACTCGAAACGTGCGCATATAACACGCAGTATGATTTTTATAATTGTTATGTGTTCTGCTCAACAGCAAAGTTTCTAGAGTATACATGTTACCACAAACCCGAATCCAGCAATGTATAGAATGCCTAAAGTCAGTAGGCAAAGTATGAAATTCAGGCATTCTACGGAGTGCCCAGACATTTTATAAAATGCCTAGAACTTTTAGGCAGTGTATGAAACTAACAGTTTATTTTATACTTTGCCTAGGTATTCTATAGAATACCTATAAATTTTATAAAATGCCTCAGATTCTTTAGGCAAAGTATATAACAAAGAAGTTTCTATAATACGATTTATACAGTTTTATTTTATCTTTTATATTTGCAAAAATTTAATACAGGTAGCCCTCGATTTTCGCCGATTCAGACTAACACCTATTTTTAAACCAGCAAGTTAAAACGTGAAAAAAATATATTTTACTATTATTTATAACGTTTTACAATGTTTCTCGTACTGATTCTTATACTAAATCGTAATTCTTACATCGCTGATTTTGAATAAAAATTATAAATACAGTCACCTCTGCACTCA